TCACCGCTTTCTCCACTGTCTCCACTGTGTGTATTTAGTCGAGACTTGTGCCTTCCAGTATCCTATGGGAGACTCGAATCGATAAAGGAGATGTTAAAGAAGCCTGCGAGGTAAGAGCTGAACAAGTTTGATGGTTCAGTCGATTTGCGTGCAAGGGTGAGATGCTAAGCGCGTGAACCTTTCAAATGCAATACGAATTTGGCGACTTCCTTTGTGGGGTTACAAGGCTTCACATTCGGCAATAGGCCATAGGAATCGGTTGAATACTTGCATTGCGACATAAGGGGAAGAGCTAGAGTTTTACGTGACTCAAAGCCCTCTCTACCCTAGAGAAGCAAATTAGTTGCCAAAGCGATAGTCACTCACACAATAAGTCAAATAAACAGATTATTGCATCTCTGATGGGACGCGTCCCACTTAAAAAGGGGAAAATATGAGTGCTTGATGTACAAATTTCCTACTAGCTGTAGGAAAGCTGTCACATGAGCAGTCGTCTTACTTTCAACACTTGTGCTGGCCTTTGAAAAAGTCCATAGCCTTGTTTCTATAACTTTATCTGAATATATGTACTCAACCAAGTCCAATGCCTTCTACTGCCGAACAGGAGTTCTCGGGGCGATACACTTGAAATTACTGATTTGGTGATACATTTATGCACTGTCTTCTTTGAAGAGCTGACAGCCCGCGAAACTTCTGTAGAGGTGCGAATTGTGTGCACCAGAAGGCATAAGCATTTACGGGACCTAGATTCACCACGATAAAGCAGCAAGTTTTGTGCAGACATGTATTATTCAATCTATAGTTATTCACCTCGCAGTGTCAGTTGACTTACCTGCCGACACTGTTAGACAAAATACTTGACCAGCATCCATCTCTACAGAGAAGGTGAATGAAGCGAACACACTCGACACCATCTCAGCCAGACACCCACAAATAAGGCAACTAGATTGCATTAACCACTATCGTTAATGTAATGCCCTATTTATTTGACCGCTTGTAAAACTTGAGACCTACCTCTCGCACTCCTCCTTAAAATATATGCATTCAGTACCAAGACATTACACAGCGAATCTGGCCGTGTTACAACTACAGCTCTGTGTGGATAAAGTGCATTTTTCAGGCGGGAGAAACTCCCACATATCCACTACAGAAGGACTAAGAACGGTGTCATTGTTTGCCATCAATGGCATTCAGTTTTCCATTAATAAGTTATTAGTGATAGAGGTGATGCCACCGTGAGCCATCTGGAAAATTCCTGTTTCTTTTGCGGAATTTCCTTTGCACTCACATATGGCCGAAGACGAGGACATTACCCAAAAGTTCCTTCCAAACGGGAGCGCATTTGATCGCGTTCTACGTATTGTGCACCGGTTTTGAGCCAGCGTTCCAGTGTCTGGTACAGAACACATGCAAGTATGTGTAGCGATCCGGGGCTTCCTAGAGGGTAGTAGAAGGCATAAGTGAGGGTGAATATATGTATTCCGAAGACGACAGGGCAAATGGGGCTTGAGCGTGGCCTGAAGGCCAGCCCACGTGTACAGAGGCCAGACAAATTCTAGAGCGACCGCCAAATGTCAGGTAGTCACATAAACAAAGCACTACAGTATACACCCTGGTCCTAGCATTTTTGACCGGACTCAGCTGTGATCCAGTTGGAACTGCTGCGAAGGCCACGTATAATCGGCACGGCTGGCTCATGAGTGTTACTATGTATCACTAAATATGCCTTGGGACTGGTGCGAGCGGTGTACCAGGTGAAGCGCAGAGGACGTTGTTCAAAAGTAGTAAAGGACATTGTAACAATTTTTTAAATAGCCACATCTATGACCGGCTAAGAGCTTGGTACTTACTACATTCTTGTGTGCGAAGGCAAGCCTTCGGTCCATAGCACAGTACAAACTCTCCCGCTTCCATTTCAATGCATTTAGTCAACCTTCCAAAATGCTTTCTTCTATTAAAAGGAAAATGTCGGGTCGTTAAAAACATTAGTATTTCTCATGTAATTTTCTACAAATAATATATATAAAGGTTTACTTTGTAGCCCTCTCCTAATTATTTGGCTCTTTAATCTGTAAGAATATATGTACCAACGCAACTTCGCAGTTTAAATATTTGTGAGAGTGACAAAATTGGATTTCTACCTCTAAATGATGTAATGAGAGCTAGTTTTATAAAATCTCATTATTAAATGTACTTATTATTGCTAGTTTTGGCTTTACGCAAAAGTATGTAAACAAAAAATGTTGTTAAAAGCTTTTCTAGGTTTGTTGTTTGTTTGCATACGCACACCTCCCGAGCGGTACATAATATTAGATATCTCGACAAATGTGTTGTGTTTTGGCCTATATTTTTTCTCGTAACATCGATCGTAAGCCTATTAAGCAACACAGATTTAATGACCGATTCTCTTGTAAGCTACTAGTATTTAATTCTTATTGGAGTTAGATGCTTTTGTCTAATGTGTTGTTTGTTCTCCAAATTAAGGTAAATTCATCTACATGTTTTGAAATAAACAGAACGTGGGACTTTGGTTCTCACGCTCTCTTGTCGCAAAATGATCTCAACTTCCTAACATGGGTGTTAGGATGCCGGAAATGTCGTCTTATGTACATTTATCACAGTCTAGCAGTTCAGGAACTGTCGGCGCGCCCTCACGATCTCACCATTGCTCCCATCCATCCGAGGCTTTATTTTCACCAACTTTCTCGCATGATCAAGGCAGTTATTATTGCAACCAAACGACAACGTATTCTCTACCGGTCTGGAGGTAGTTTGTGCAGCTTTATGTCTCCAAAGCCGCCCCGGGCTCGGCGTTGGATTTGTAATAACCACGCGACTGACATCTTTCGGTACATGTTCTACGCAGCTGATGATGACATTTATTATTTGAATCTTCGAGAGGTGCAATCCTCGCGACCTGCAAAGTGGGTGGGAAAGGTCTTTCCCGAAGGTCAGACTGAGTTCTTTAGAAAAGGACTTTCCAAGTTTGAACTAGCAACTTCTGTCCCACGGTTTCGAACGTCGCACACTGTGCCAAATTTTCTACCAGAAAACTGTGATTTGAATCCTTGTTCAGGACTGACATTCATGTTGCGGACTAAAGATATTGGTGGACACACCTGTGGACGATTTTTGCCGCGCACAGATATCAAAGATGCGAACCGACGTTGGAATGAAGGTTATAAGGATGTTAAGCTTGCCAAACAGGTGGAAATTAGTGACAAAAGGGTGAGGTTCCCCAAATATTGTCCTGTTACTCGCATTTATAACTTGATAACGTACAAAACCGCTTTGAATCTACTGCGCAAGGATCGGACGTGGGAATTTTGTAGCATTGATCGAGAGAGGGAGGGTCGGTCCGAGGATGATGAAGATGAAGTGGAGATGGCTAATGAAACTCGTGCTCCTGCCTGCCCGGAGGAAGAAGGATCAAGTGAGCGGGACGAAATCCATATACAGGCTGAAAATGGTCTGTCACGTTTACTCCCAGAGACAACTGTAGATCGTGCTGGTGAGAGTGTGGATATTAGCTACGAAAAACACCGACGGTGTTTTAATGAGAGCGGCCAAGTTAAGACTTCAGTTAATGGGGCGCCTTCTGTCAAGTTGGACATGTCGCTTGGTACGTCATCATCCTTCCGCCTGGATTCTTATTTCGGACAGGTGTCATCGGTTTACTTCGAAGGGGTGGGTTCGCCACCCTCACGTCAATCGGATACCTCATCCAGAGTTGTTGATGAATTTTTATTATGAACTTAATGCTGGTACAGTTTTTATTATGAGGGCTATTCTTTGTGTTGTCGATTGTTTTTTATTGAATATGAAGTGAAGATGCCAGTTGTTTTGATTCGCGGTTCATATCCACCTACTCTGGTGCTTTTGGTGTCGGTGGGTCGAACTCCTGACCCAGCTACTACCATGTTCGTTGAGCGAAGACTGAATTGAAGGTTGATAAGGGGTGCATCTTTGTAACCTCAGTTCGGTCTGCTACATCCGGGTGTAAGGTCATATTCGTGGGTGAGTTGACAGGGGTGTCGGTTTGTCGATTTGGTTCGTCGGGAACTTTTTTTGTTTTACTTATTTGGAAGCGTATGAGAGTCAAGACCTTGGTATGCTTTTCATCTTGCTCGCGTTCGTAGCCTAGACGTTGTTCTATGCCTGCCTTTTGTTGTGCACTTGTCTGTGCGGCAACTCTTTGTTTCGCACGGCGGCGAGCGCCTCGACACGTTGCTAATCTCGTGAGCATCGGAAGTACAATCGGCATTAGCGTTTACGATTTGCAGTAATAGTGCAAATTGCGCATGGATCATAAGTTTCCTCTTTCTGGTCTGGTTCGTGTTAAAATTGTCGGTGTAGCTAACAACCTTTAATTGTTGAGGTTACACATGGCAGATGCTTGAAGTCTGTTCATCTCCTTTTTGTACCGTCCGATTTTTGCTCACCTGCGTCAAGCGCGTTTCGACTAGAGGTCTATTGCAAAGGAGGATGTCCTCCTTTTTCAATGGTCTCGCACGTCAGATAACAGCATATTTGTCGCATTTCTCTGTTTTCATGAAATTTCACGATCTGCAACTGCAGGAATGTAGAAGTTAACCGCTTTAATGCAAAATCTAAGATAAATTTAGGAATAATTTGGATCTGGAATCTAACACAAAGGTACTTTTGAGTAACTTGTGACAATGAAAACAAGGATTAAATGAATCTTATGAACAGTGTCGTCATTTGTGCTGCTAAACAACCAATGCTTCCTTAATCATTGAGGATGTCACTCGAGCACGTCTTCCAGCATGTCTACGCATTTGCTGAAGCCAACTTTCTTGCACTTGGCTAGTGAAACTTATGAACCATCTCGGTCGGAGCGTAAGAATAATTTCCGTTGCCTTCGAGAACCGCGGGTACTCTCATGCTGGGGTACCCTGTTCATAATCTCACTACCTCTTGAATTCATACTCTCTGTGTTGGTTCTCCAATGTTCATGAGACTGGTTAATTATGTTTCATGTTCTTAGTGGAAATCGGCATCGACCATCTCCATCCCCATACTGTGGAATTATTTTTATCTGACATATTAGATTCAATAGTCTATGTATACGGTTGGGGGAAGTTTTACGAATAGTTCCCTTTTTAATGATATACTTCTTGAGGTGATGTTTTGTATTTTCCGAAACTTTGGCTAAGATGGTGTGCACCTTGGAGGTTGATGTAAAGCTTTCGCGGCCGAACTGTGTAATTAATTTTTGAAACCTTTATAAGGGGGCTCTGCCGCCGAGATTACTATCGGATTAGGTCACGTCACTGGATGAGTCGTTCGGACTGTGCCAAAACATTCGACGTCAAATGACCCCATCGCCTCAGTTTTAGATTACCGGAGTGGAAATTGGGCCGGAAATTAATTCAATTTGACTGCCTTGATTCATTTTCGAACCACCATTATCGAGCCAAGGGTCTCATTTGCGCCACAGAACTGAACATTCCACAGGCAGCATATTTATAGTTATAGTTGGCAGTGGCTATGCATTTGTCATTTGGCCAATCTTCCACATAATATGCTTCATCTCTTTACGGGTAGCAGTGAAGTGCTATCTTCTTTCATTCTACCAAGTGAGTTAGTGCTTCTAGTTAGAGCGGACAAGTTCAGCCTCGTTCGCTTTCTTCGTTAAGGGGAAACTAATTAATCTGGTGAAAGTGAAATGATTTTTACATACGCGGCAATGTTTATTCAATTCCTTTTAGTGCTGAAGTCAAATTAAAATGTTCTACAAATCATAGTCACTGGATCGACGACTTTTGACCTTAGATAGTGTTGTCACAACAGTGGCAGCGCCACGGGTTAATACATGTTTAAACCTCAAAGAGCAGCCGATCGTATCAAGAAGCAAAAAATTTTTAATCAGAACTCACACGTTACCAAGGTCATGCGTTTGCTAACTCACAAAGGTGCCTTAGTTTCAATGTCAAACTAACCACGCATCCTTTCTCGGAGGGAAACCCTACGCATTCGTGGTGTCAATCTTATTCCTGCGGTTCGGACTCATTTCTTGGCTTATGAAGTTGTTCAAATGCAGCGTTCGGTCAAATAACCTAGGTGGACAACAATCCCGTATTTCATCCCTCAAAATGTAACAGTTGCTCCTCTATTGCCAATTGTCAACATTGGTACACGTTTGATAAACAAGAGAGATGTATTAAGTTATGCAACAATGGCTTTTTATAAAAACAAAATGTTTACATAATTCAGTGAGATTGTGAATGCGTTTGTTTATAGCAAAATGGGAGGAGCCACTGAAACAAATGAGAAAAATAAACAGAACTCTTGAATATTGGATGCGAGGCATTTAGAAAGAAGGGGTTGGACGTGACGCATTGATGACGCTTTAATCCCGAGAACCAAGTCGTTTGTGGCACATGAGGGGCGAGGAATTGTAGGAAGGCTTTTCTACGCTGAAAAGGAAGGGCTGGGGTTCCAAGAGCGTGAATGCAAGGCAGGAAGCCACACGCACACTGGCATGAAAAAGCGAGTTAACATCTTCTACCAGAAGCTTCTAAAGAATACCTGTAGGCGGCACCTTTGATGAAACACTTCTTCTAAACACTAGCCAAAGCTAAGACGCGAATTAAATTTCGTCCATCCGGAAGAAGGGCCTGTAGGGCGTGAGGCACCTTCGGTGTAGCTAAGATGCGCCAACTTGTAGTTATACCAAATTCTACTTGGTTGGAAAGCAATTAAGTCCGCCTTGATTGGTGCAAAATTGAAGAGAAACTTTCCATATCATTTCCGTTTGCAGAAACTGCTGACAATTGACGTTGTCAGTGTTAAACATTACTACTAC